CGTACGACTAACGAACGAACCGAACCGACGTAGGTACGTACGTAGTAGTACGACCCGTTCCTACGTACGGTACCGTCGTACCAGTAGTATATATATATATATATATATATATATATATATATATGGTTAGCATGCGGGCCAAGCCTGCACATGTAGAAATGCGGGCCCCTTAATAAATCTATTTTTGAGATGGATATTTGGACTTAATTTTTAAAGACATGTAATATCCAACATGGAGATCATGAATATGAAAATATAAATAAATTTTAAAAACTAGAAATAGTAAATCTACTAAGAAAACATTTGGACCGTTAGTTTCCATTGTTTTTAGATGGACCACCTATTTGCATCTATCTTTAAGATAGATGCTTTATACTTCTGGACCGCATTTCTACATATGCGGTCCAGCCCGCATGAAACAATTTCCCTTTATGTGATTTTAGTATTTAACACAATGTAATTTATGCAATTTACACAATGTAAATTACCCAATGTCATTTTTAATATGAAAGTAAAACCCCTCTATTTTTTTTTATTATTTCACCCTTATTTGGATGAAATTTGAGAAGAACTGAGGCAAAAGGGCCGGGGTTTGGCTTCGGGCCTTACCGGTTCAAAAGCCCGACCAATGCCTTTGTCAGCATTGGCTAGTCCTGGCCAGGCCTGGACATCAGCCATGTGCACTTGCACCTCTAGGTATGAGTTCTATGAACTTCACGTATGCAAATCATGCTCAAGAACCATAGTATATGGTTTATAGAGCTATTCAAGGGACTCAACCATTCAATGTTTCCTGTGACTAAAACCTCAAGAAAGAAACACCGTAGGACACATAAATCAGTATGCATCTATGACGAACACTCAGAGGATCCATGAGTATGATGAAACTATCAAATTAAACGATCATATACACTGAACCCAATTTTGAGGAATATGACATGATTTCTTTTCCTTTTTTTTTTTTTGAAGTGTAACATGATGTGATTTCAAATTCATTTCAAAAGGAAATCGATTTGCATAAGAGGAACAGAAACATAATGAGAAAATCAGAACAAAAGGAATGAAGGGAAACATAGGCATTCAGATTGACAAACGCTTGACAAATTCAGGGTGAGACAGGCTGAAGAAGTATCAAATCAAGTTATACAGTTCGATTTCTAAAACTCTCATCAATGATGACAATGAATAAGGATGATATCCTTCTATGGCAGCTAAGTTAAATTTCAAAATACAACAATTAAATGTCAATGATATTCCCGATGGAAATTTGGATGATGAACCTTCATAGAATTTCCCGGGGACTTTGTTATGCTTAACATGGTATCTAACGAGAAGAACCAACGAATCATTGTATGGTCTCGAGAGTCTCATAGCAATCACAGAATCAAAGGAATTTTTTTTATTTTTTTATTTTTTTAATGTGTACAGAAGCAATGGAATTTGCTATCTCGAAAAGCAATCAACTTAGCTTGACCTCACTCAAGACACAACAGCCATACATGTACTATATTGGAAATGGCACTAGTACATTGGCTGAATGCTGCCATCATTATTGGGAATGGCATGGATTTTGACAACCTCTTGCTGGTTCTCCCAAACATTCCTTAGGCCTTTTTATAGATGTTGCAGAATCACATAGTGGCATGGTTCATGGAACAAATGATGTTGATATTTTCTTGTTTTTACTCTAGTTGGATATTTGATTAAAAGGTAAATGACACATTCCCAATTGAACCAACCAAAAAGGTTGGATTCATAAGTTCATAAACTATTCAAAGATGTGAAGAAAGAAACCGGACACATACTAAGCAACAGTGCATATGACAATCAACAGATTAAGATTCAGGCGCAAGGTAGAATGCCCATATATCACAAAATATATTATACTACAAGAGATGACAACAGTGCCTATTTTTTTTTTTCATATCCGAGGTGCCCATGGAGTAAGACACAAAGATACATAATTCATCGCTCAGTATGGTATTTCAAGTACACCCAGGCAAAATAGCTTATTATACAAGAACTCTTAACTCGGAGTACATGATGTCATCACATGACATACATGATTTCTTTCTTAAGAAATACTTTCGCATTCAAGATGGAATTATGTATTGTAAACTTCAAACCGAGCATATATTCACTTGGTAGAAGAATATAGTAAGCTGATTCACATCTCCACCCAATTTATAGGGGTACTCCATGTGTCACGTAGCATAGGGGAACTGTAGGCACACTCTATATAAGACACAAAATAGAAAATGGAAAATACACAAAATGATCCAATGGACTATTGAAAATCATAGTATAATTAAAGCTATCACCATCCTATGGGGTGATGGATGTGACAGAGAGAGCAGGACCCACCATTCAGGTTTTGGTGTGTTGTACTCTCCACCACTGTCCATAATTTCATCCAATGGTGATGATCCCAGAGGATTATTCTTTTCCAAAGGTCCATTGTAATGTCTTCACCCATGAATTCCCTTAAAAAAGAAAGAACACAGTTAGAGAGAAGCACACCTGATCGAAGAGGAGATTAGTTGATGGGACAGATTAGACATCCCCTCAGTTAGCAGGCTATCATCCATTAAGTTAAAGAGGTCATCAGAGCTAATGCTTGTTTCCTCATAAAAGAAGCTTGGAATTTCAGCAGCAGATATCGAATCATTAAGATGAATCATTTCCATTCCATTGGGAACAAAATCTTTGACATGGCCATGACTTTGAACAGAACGCAAGTGTAGTTCCTCAAACTGAGATGCCATAGAGGAAGCCACAGTTGAACCCCCTTGCAAATTTATGTTTATATGTGGGAAATCCCAATAGCTTTCGAGCTCATAAGTCTTAGTGCTTGGGTAGTTTCGTTCAAGACAAAATGTGATCATTGAATCAGCTGAAGATCCTAAAGGAGATACATGGTCGAGTTTGCAATCAGTAATTGGCTGTTTGGTTTGATTTAGGAGATCAAAGGTGCCTTTGTTAGTCATTCTAGTTCTTTCAATAAAATCTGAAGAATATGGATGACCAGACGATAGGGGGTGATTGAGTTGGATTTGAATGTCGGGTTGCTGAAAGGGAACCTCCAAATTCGTGCAGTCTCCAACACATGACTGTTGATTGATATGCATGGCGGGTATTTTTTCATTAGCATGCTGTTGCTTAATTTGCAGGGTGGGTAATTCTTCATTAGCATGCTGCTGCCATGGGAAGGTGGATGAAGTATAATCCTCACAATAAACTGTGTTGCCAAAGGAAATAAATTGGAGCCCTTCATGACATACTGGGTCCTGCTTCTGAACATCAAGGAGATCCAATTTACTAAGAGCCAAAGCTCTTTTGGTAACTGTTTTATGCAAGCTAGTAAACTCATCATGAATCTCTGAAAGGGCATTTTGGGGAAGGATTGTCTCATCAGACGATCCTGAAAAAGTTGAATTTGATCCTTGACTTTCTGGAGGTTCCCTTGAATTGGAATTGGGTGGCATCGTTCCTTCAGGTTGCCTTTGCAGCCTGGCTAGGTAGAGTCTGTATTTCTGCATGATAAGATGCTTCTGATAAAGAATCCATTTTACTTGTAAATCTCAAATAGTATTGTTTTTCTTCATATATGGTTCGTGAAACTGTTTCCAGCATCAATGAGCTTGTATTCTTTTTTACATGCCACTATCAAATTCAAGGATTCTTCCTTTCACTTATTTCTGAAAAACAACAGCATATAATGTATACACTGAATACAAAACCAAATCGAGTTCATCATACTGAAAAAAAGAAGAAATTTTGCTCTGAATGCTTAGAGAATGCTAGCCAGAAAGTCATATGATCAGCAATCATTTTCAGAAAGTATAGGCAAATGAGTTGTGGAAAAATCATTTAGCCAAATGGATTCATGAGGCAAGCCACCTCAGAACTAGAAAGTAAGGATTTAGACTCATGGGTTGCTAAAATGTTCTTGGAATGAAGTGTTCTAGAAATTCGTAACAACTCATATTCTTAGTCTCACCATTTGGTAGTCTTGAATAAACATTGTGTGATGGTGAAGAGAAAAAAGCCGTGTAATACCAGCCTTTTACATGGTGGTCTAATAGATCTACATGTTTTGCCTGTACAAAGACCAATTAAAACAAAAAAGACCTACCTGTAGATGGCTAGCTACATTCTCCCTTGTTAGACCAGGAACATGCATGAGATCAAGTATTTTCTTGGGACCCACTTCTGCAAGATACAAGTACACACTCATTAACATTAGAGAGGAAGAAAAAGCTGAAGTAGTGAATGATTTAGTAAACTAGAATCCAACATGGAACGATAAACCATCATTTCCTACCTTTGGTTATATCACAAAACGCCTCCTTAGAAGTATAAGAGGTAAATTAAATAGAATACTCACTATCTATCCCTATTTGATGAACAGCATCCACAAACTGTTCATGAAGATCTACTGTCCAATTTACTCTAGGCTTCTTTACTGATGCTGGATCATTTGTATCTTTGTCATCCCCATCTTCATCTTTTGCATCCTTCCTTTTCTTTGATAATTTGAGGTCCCCACCATAGAATAAACTCCCTTCATCAGAGTCATCTGATCCTTTCCTCAACCTCTGGAAATCCTCATTAAAATCCATGTCCTTTGTCTCCAACAATTTTTTCCTGTAAACATGCTGCCATATATTCCTAAGCTCTTTCATCCTTACAGGTTTTAACAGGTAATCGCATGCCCCATGTTTGACTCCTTTCATTACTCTACTTTTTTCATCATCTACGGACATCACTGTGTCAAATAACAGGCACATCATCATTGAAAATTAAATAGCAGGATGGTTACGGTTTAAACAAGGGAAATTGTAATCGAGAGTAAAAAACTCACTGAGGACAGGAAGATCCATCTCAAGTCCTACGAGTTCAAGGAGCTTAAATCCATCCATGTCGGGCATGTTGACATCGCTTATGACAATATCAAATCCATCTTTTCTCTCCCGAAGCATCTTAAGGGCATCCTCTGCCAAATTGCATGTTGTCACTGCAAGGCATATAAGTAACTATTAGTTTTGAAACCAACGAACATGATACAAAAGGAAAGTTCAATTTTATTACATTTATTTTATATAAAAAAGTTAAAAATAATAGAGCTCGTAGAAAGAAAATACAAGGTACTTACATGCATGTATGCTAGGAGGGATTCTAATACATACACACATACACCAACATACATACACATATACGTACATAAATACATACATACATACATTCATATATACAGATAATGAAATTTTAGAAAATGTTTCCTTGAGTGCTCATGACCTGACAATGTATAGAACAGTGCAGTCAAGCAGAAAATGCAGAAGCAAAAAAGTGCAGCATTTACATCTTCATGAAAAGGTTTTATAAGTTTGCATTTGAGAAATTGAATCCTAATCCTAAAGAGCACTTTTGATAACTGTATTCACTTTATAACAAGAACAGTGCATACACTGGCATAGTAACTATTCTGTTTTTATCACTATGTAAACCGTAAAAGCAATAGCACCTTAAATTTGCTGCATGTTACCATCTTATACGAGGAAGAGAAATAGCATATCTTGAACCTTTGAGGTCAAAAACAACTATATTATACACCTGATTAGGATGCAGGTAACACAAATAGCATGACAAAAGTTCATATTGACCCATGATTCTGACTTTGGAAGCTTCATCAAGATAATGGAAAGAAAGAAATATTTTTGAAACATTGCAGGGAAAGAAATGCATTAGCCAACTACAGAATAAAATAAGAAAAAATTATGCGCAAATGAAACTATAGAATCACAAATGATGCACAAACTTGCCATGCCAGAACAGTTATTTTGTTACAACAATATACTCTGTGCTTAGATTTCAATAACAGATATACAAATTAATGCACTGAAACTAAGCCAGACTTAACAATTTAACCATTAAATATTTTTTAAACAAATCATTTAAAGAAAGGTAGCTCAGCTTGGTTGTGTTTTAGGACAAACTTCAAGGGTTTGCACCATTGACCTCCCACACGGAGACCAGGTGTCTTTTCATGGGACAAAAGTCCAATTGGCACAAATCTCATTTGTCTAAAAACAAAGAGGTTTTTAGATGATGTAATCAAATATAAACTGCAGATGATTCCCTAATGCATGATACAAAACATAATTAAGTAGAATCAACATAACTAGTTAAGGATTGAAAAGTATCACTTTATAATTGCATTGTAAAACTTTGAGGCAATTCAATCAACTAGAAACCCTAAACCAATCCAGAATCAGAACATGGATACTGGATGTTTGCCAAAAGACTGAAATTTAAATGGAAAGATCAAACAAACAAGATATCAGTCATAACTTAAAACTGAGGATCCACAATTTTGAGGTAATTCAATCAACAATAACCTAAATTCATCCATAATACAACATACTAATTATTTATGAAAATAGCCATAGATAGTGACATGAATATCAGGAAGACGTAACCGAGAGGCAAATCTTTTAGAAGATTTCATCAATAGTTTATCTGAATTAATCCAAAAACAGAAATAGTTGCAAGCAGAATCACTTCCCACAAAAAAAAGTAGCAAGCAGAATACCTTGGAAAGAACAGTAACATGTCAAAATACATTGAAATCAGATATACAGCAGAGAAGTACAAAACTACCAGCGATATTGAAAGTGACAGACCTTCCCAGTTGTTTGACTGTCCAACTGATGAAAAGTTAATATGCATCACCCCGGAACCATGATTAATCCAACCACATCATAACTCATATGTTTCAAGTAGAATTCAGTGAAACGCAAGGTGAGTAGTAGTAAGCACTAGACTTGTCCCCTGCTTTAAAATGTGTAGCAAATGAAAAAACTTTGAATTTCAATAAAAATTAAATTCCAAACCAGTCCAACACACATTATACTGAACACTTAAAGCAGAATTTGGTAGCCAAAAACTACTTTAAAGTTTGAGCTGATGAACTTAACCAGTCTCTAGAAAACATAAGACCAGTCCATAACAAACCAAACTGAACTGAACAATTTCAAGCATAACAGCCGAGCTACTAAACCACTACAAATAAGTGAAAATGCAAAGAATTACTTTTTCTTCGAGAAAAGCGAAATCAATGGATATTGCAGATAGATCAAACCACACAACACCATATTGAACAATTGCCCACAAAATTTCCATGAAACCATCAGACTAAATACACAAAACCACTCCGTCTAAAAAAAGGTAAATAAGATCAAAGCAAATGGAGTGAATTCAATGGATCTATAGAGGAGAAATCACCCTTATATAAGCACTTTTTAAGCATCTTCTCAAGGATCTTGAGCCATGTGAGATCATCATCCACAACGAGAACACGAAGGCCATTTGGAAACTGAGAGGAAGGCAACACGCTCTCCATGAAAGCTTAAACCCTAACCCCCTGCAGCAAAAACCAGAACCAGAAGGGGGAGAAAAAGGAGGAAGGGAAAGATAAAAGGAGGCCATTGGAGGGCAAGAGGTGGGAGAAGAAAGGAATCAGTGGAAGAAAGAGAAAAAGGCATAGCCAATCCTCAACGAGTAGCTTTAGGCATCAAAATTCCACCAAAAAAAGCCATGCATTATTTAATATGAATATTTCTGCAACTTAGGTGGGCTGCTTCTTCAGCTTTGTAGGAGGGAAGAATGGGAGGGATTCTAGGGTTTGGTTTCCACGTAATTGTGCTTCATGATTTAATATATTACGCATAATGCAATGGAATCAGGGCCCAGAGAGAGAAAGAGACAGCTCAATTACTGAATGTATTTTAAATTTCGATATCTTTTTTGTGGCAGGAGAGAGAGAGAACAGTTGCAGAGAGAGATTGCAGAATTTATTTTTAGAGAGAGAGAGGAAAAGCAGTTGCAGAGAGCGAGAGGAGAAAGAGGGGACTTGCAAAGTTGCTTTTTAAATTTCAGTTTACCGGAAAGAAGCGCGGCATTAACGGGTCCCCGCGTTTTTGGATAACTCTCGTGCTCATTTCGGCCCAAGTTTTGGGAGAATCTCAACCCAACTTCCCGCAGTTAGGGGCACTTTTGGTCATTTGTTAATGTGAGAGGAGCAAGATGCCAAGACATTTATTTGTAATGAGAAACGTTTTTATGCTTCCCCTCCAGCATTGAAGTGTTATCCTTTTTCTACTATCTAAACCATATAATTTTAATCCAGACTGTTATTCACTATTTGATCTTAAATCCGACATTTTAAAGTATTTTATTTTTAGTTTTTTTTATACAAATTGTATGACTATAAAATTTGTTACGTATCATCTTCTCATTAATAATAATATATGAAGAAAGAAAAGTGAGTGGCCAACAAACATATGTATGTAGGCGATGGGTGCTGCTTTATTTATCCATCACTAGCCTCACAAGTAACAACAGCAAAGTTCATTACTTATACCTAGAGAAAGAGAGATACGAGAATGTGTAATTTTGATGAAATTTGAACCAAAGAAGCTTTTTCCATTTGACCTATTATTTCAAAATATTCATAACTTCAAATTGATTTTAGCATTGAGAGAGAGAGGTAAGTGGCTCCAAAATTCCTCCAAGGAGAGAGAGAGAGGTAAGTGACTCTCTGAGTTTGGAATAAAAAATTAGCGACTATTTCTCAAAAAAAAAAAAAATTAAAAGGAGAAGAACCTCCAAATGCCTCTATCAAACTTAAGAGAAAGTATATAAAGAGATCATTTATTTTTTGTACAAAGAAGTCATAATCATTCTTGTACTTTGAATTTCAAATTAATTGATTGTAATAGTATCATTGAAAACATTTAAAATTCAAACAAATAAAATAAAATCAGACTTCATGCCTATCCCAAGCCATCTAATTTGACATCTAATGAATAAAAATGATTATAACTTCCTTATAATAAAAATAAATAATTTCATTATATAATCCCCAAACTTGAAGCACAAGAGGAAAGCATTAAACCAGTGGCTAATTTGACCAGACAATTGAGCACCGAAAGGTTTCAATGTGTAGAGTGTATCGTCTCGGGAACATACTATGCGCTTACTCCTTCCAGCATAAAGACCGAAGCCTATCTCATCAAATTTTCGGATATCTTTAAGAAAAAGGTTATGTAACACTTAGATCTGATTTTCCAAATATGGACGGTCACCGTTCAATCTTAAGATGTTATCTTTTATTTCCTCCAAACAACCAACGAGGCCACTATAGCATCCATCATGGTAGACGTAGAGGTAGAGGTATTATTGTCGATCGGTGGTAAATGGGCAAAATCTTTCCTTTTCCACTCCAATTGCTCATCGTCCTCCCAGATGCTTCATATGAAGTTCATGGATTTGAACTCCTGCTGCAAAAAGTTCTTGTACTTCTCGCATGGCCGTCGTTTTTTCTAGGGCATTGTATTGAAAGTTAATATTTTGCTTATCCTTTTTATTTAACTTCAAAAAAACCCATCAAAATACACATGATCATGACTTAAAATAGTTAAAATATGTAACATATTAAGTACCTCGTCAATTAGGTGTATTTTGATCATTCTTATGTGTATTTTGATAATTCTTTTTAAGGTTGTTTACTAGGTTGGAAATACTTGTTTACTTTTATGCGCTCTAAAAAACACTCCAGGTGGTAATGGATAATGTGCTCCCGCGGGTGCATATAATCATTTGCGAAGTTTACAAGAGGCAGAGTTTAGGACTAGTAAATTTTATGAGTGAGAGATCCATGATGCCCCCACTTCTAAGTTTTTCGTTTCCAAAGGAGGTGCTTGGGATATATTTTGGGTCCAGGGGGGACCACTTCTAAGTTTTATTTTTCCGACCGTTTCAAAATAAAATAAAAGTTCTACTTTTTTCCCAAAGCAACAAAGTTTTGAACTGAATTCCATTTAGGGCTTGTACCCCAAGTCTCCTTTTTTACTATAAATAAATAATTAACATCTTAATGAGCTATAAACAAGTAATTAGCACTTTAATGAGCTATATTAGCATGTAAACACGTATTATAGGAGGGGAAGCAATTCCATAGTAAATTTGATTCTAAAGTAGAAATAAATTAGATTAAATAAATGAGAAAGATAGAAGAATAATAGGAATAAGGGCACAATCAAGTAAGTTCCATGTTGATGATGTGCCGTGGACCTAATGGGTGATTTTCCCAAATCATTCTTCTAAAAGCAAAAGGCCTTTTGAGTTAACTTATGCCCTTTAAGCACCACATTCTAACCAATATCATTAGATATTGATAGATAGATACATGTAGAGAGAGAGAGATTGCCAAGCTATATTTGTGCCCCAAATATTCCACCGTAGAGTAGGGCTGGCAACGGGACAGGCCGGTCTTAGCCCTATTCCCCTTGAGAACCTATCAAGGGCAGGCCATGGGTAAAATTAAAGAAAAATAATTCAAAGAAGATAAAAATAAGAGCATGGCCAGTCTTAGTCTGGCCAGGCCCTGGTTTTTTAGGGCCGGCCAGCCGAGCTTGGCCAAGCCACTCGGCCCACTGCCACCCCTACTAGAGAGAGAGAGGTTGTTAAATTACATGTGTGATTAAAAAACTCCTCTAGAGAAAGAGAGCTTGTTAAATTACATGTGTTCTTCAAATTCCACCTATATCTTGAGAGAGGGACCTATATCTTGCGAGAGGGACCTACATCTAATCATGCAAGTTTTGAAAGTGGATTTGTATTGGCATGAGTTTCTATGGGGTGTCTAATCATGCAAGTTTTGAAAGTGGATTTGCATTGGCATTAGTTTATATGGGGTGTAGTTTATATAAGGTGGCAACTTTAAACTTACGTCTAGAAGTAAATGAAAGAAAAATTAATGTGATCTTGTCGGGGATATATTTTTTTATTTTTTTATTTTTCATTTTTTTTTTTAATTTTTTTTTTTTTGGCAAGTATCACTTACAAATAGTCTTATTACAATAACTCTTGCTTCAAAGAAAATAAAACTAACAAATCCAATATCTTAAAAACATTGATGCCATTGAACCAAATTTCTTTTAAGAAAAGAAAATATTCACAATTCTTATGTTTGAGAATATAAAGACAATATAAATAAAAAGAGAGTGTCGGGGATTACTTCAACCATGCATATGGCTCTCGATCTAAAATCAACTACCTAATGCCTTAATGTCTTAGTCTTGCTCAAATCCCTTTTGATTTATCTTTGGAACTATAGATCTCAATCTAGAACCAACTAGCCTCAATCCCTTAGTTTTGTTCAAGCCCATTTGGTTTGATATTTTTTGGAGAGTTAAGAAATAGATCAATGAGAGAGAGAGAGATCTACCAACAAGGGGATCATCCCCTTTGCTACCGAAAAATCAAACCACCACAAGCCAACTTTAGCTTAGACGTTGCACCTTAAAACGAGAGAGATGACTTGGTCGTGCCTTGTTGGCTTGCGAGAAACGAGAGAGGCTACCAAAAAATCAAACCACCACAAACTAACCTTAGTTTGGGCGTGGCACCTAGAAACGAGAGAGATGACTTGGGCGTATCCTTTTGACATGATAGAGATTTTGGTTGGGGTGTACCCCTTAGAGAAACTTGGGAGAGATCTGAAGCCCTAGATGGAGCGTGCCACCTATAAAGATATTTGAGAGAGATAAACCCTTAGAGAGAGAAGAGAAAATAGGTGTAGAGATTTTATGAGGTGTGAGAGTCTCTTTTTATATATTTTCTAAGCCTTGGAGTTTGCCTCAATTTGTAAGGTCAAATATTGACTATCGATCCAAGGAGACTTGTGGGATGAGAGATTTGAGCCATCCAACTCTTTGATCCACCATTAAGATTTAAAGAGATGAGCTAGAGCCTAATTATATCTTTCCTAAATATTTATTTCTTGGATCAAGCAATCTTGATTTTAAGATTTAATAAATATTCCAAATATTCAACAAGTTGGCTATACCCAAAAAATAAGCCAACAAACAAAAGATAACTATCACCCAATCTTGAAAAAGAAGTTAGTCCCTATGGGTTGGGTGTGCCACCCTTTGGTGGCCAAGCCTCCCCAATTCCGCATGTTCTAAATTGGGCCCTATGGGTTGGGCGTGCCACCCTTTAGTGGCCAGGCCCACCCAATTCCACATGTTCTAAATTGGGCCCCCATATTTATGGAGGGTCCCATATAATTTTAGAAAATATTTTATTTTGTGTTTAGAATATTTTAAATATTATGTTTTATTAAAAACATTGGAAAATCAATTTCTCTTAATTTATAAATCCAAATGACAATAATAAAATATCATAAGATTTACAAAAATTCAAATAA